ATGTGTGTGAGTGTTGGTGTGTGTGTGTGTGTGTGTGTGTGTGTGTGTGTGTGTGTGTGTGTGTGTGTGGCCTGTGTGTGTGTGTGTGTGTGTGTGTGTGTGTGTGTGTGTGTGTGTGTGTGTGTGTGTTTTTCTCCCAAATTGTAATAACATGGTCTTTGAAGGATCCCTCTGAGTCCAGTTCAAAATTCTTTTATCAAAGAAACTGACTATGCAAAAGGGAGCCAACTTCCCAGTAATGTGTAACAAAGACCCTGGATTAGTACAGGCGACCCCAGGGTCCTCCTTCTATGCCTTAGTGCCATCCCAGCTGTGATGTGAGGATGACAGTTGAAGATCCAGCCCAAACATCCCTGGAAAAGTATGGCCTCATGGGCTTCATCCTGGTCCTGTGGGCTCACAGGAGGCCACAGAGTCCCACTGGCATGGACCAGGCTGTGCCTGGAACCTAGAGTCCTGGCTAAACCGTTGATGTTTCCGATGGTGTCTGGCCAGATGGTCAGTCTGAGGGGCCCTGGCACTCCTGGCAGTCCTTCATCTCCTCAGTGTAGTTCTCAATTTGGATGGTCATGATGTGGAAATTGAACTTCCCCTGGAGGCGGTCCCTAGCCACCTTCAGCACAGCCTGGGGGTCAGCATTCGGAGCTGGGAAGAGAAACAAGGGATGATTGGCTCCATGTCTACCCCTGGGGAATTGACTAGGAGACAAGAAGTGCCAGGGTCTATCCTGTACCAGGCGAGCCCAGAGCAAGAAAAGCACTGGCCTTACAGCTTGAATCTGTCTCCCTCATCCACTCACCCCCTTGCTCCTGTACAAGTGATCTGACCACCCCAAACAAGGCCTCAGTTATCTTCCTCCATAAACGCAGTTGGAAGGATCAAAGGGCATTTCAGTGCTCAGCACTTGGCCGGAGCTTGGCAAACCCTCAGGAATGGCCCCAGGCCCCTGGCTGCTTCTCTCTTCACCTTAACTCACCGATAGCTATGTGGACAGACAGCACCGGCTGGGCCACTGTCAGTGCCCAGATATGCAGGCTGTGCAAGGCTTCCACCCCATCCACGGACAGCAGGAGATTCTTCACGGCTGTGAAGTCCACACCTTTGGGAGTCCCTGGGGACAGAAAGCACAATGGTAAAGGACACTACCCTCCCATCCCACTCTATCCTCCAGGGCCATCTACTCAGAAGGCCTCCTTGGCCAGCAGGTTCCATATGGTGCTCCCATCCCTCACTCTGTCCTGTTACAACAAATGGAATGATCTCACGAATTTATCTATTGAGTCTAGAATGGAAACAGAGCATGAGTCTCTTTTGTTCACAGCTATATGGTCAATGTTTTTGTTTTTTAGACAAAGTCTTGCTATGTACCCTGAGCTGGTTTCCGACCCAAAATTCTGCTTCTTCAACTTCCTGGGTGCTGGGATTACAGGTATGGCCCCTCCAGACCCTCCAAGGCCAGTCATCTTGTTGAAGATAGCTTTGAAACTAAATATTCCTGCCAAGCCCAGGCTAGTACCCCACTCTCTTCCAACTGTCCCTGACCCTTTAGAAAGCCATGGCTTGGGCCTAAGCCAAGGCCTAAAGTGTGAGCTAGGCCTGTGGATTAGAGTGGTAGTTCCAGGCATCATTCACCAGCTGAGGCAGGAACAGGGAGGGTATGGGCCCTGAGACCTGTGGGAAAGAACTGAGCTGGTGTGGGTTCACTCAGCAACTACGATGGTGCACACCTGCACTTCCAACACTGAGGAGGCCAAGGCCATCTCAAACAACAAGGGATTAGAGAGATGGCTCAGAGGTTAAGAGCACTGGCTGCTCTTCCAGAGGTCCTGAGCTCAATTCCCAGAAACCACATGGTGACTCTCAACCATCTATAATGAGATCAGGTACCCTCTTATGGCCTGCAGGCAATACATGCAGGCAGAACACTGTATACCTAATAAATAAATTTTAAAAAAGCAACAACAAAAAGCAACAGGGGATTAGAGAGACGGCTCCGAGTTTGGGAGCACTTGCTGCTCTTCCAAAGGATCAAGGTTCAGTTCCCAGCACCCTTTGATCCTAGCACTAGGAAGGTAGAGGCAGGCAGTTCTCTGTGAATTTGGTGTCAGTCTGGTCTTCATAGTGAGACCCTGTCTCAAAAATAAATTTAAAAAAAGTTCCTAGTTCTTAGATGTGGTGGTCCATGCTTTTAACCCACCACTTGGGAGGCAAGACTTTGAGGCCAACCTGGTCTTGAGTTCCAGGCTAGCTAGGGCTACATAAAGAGACCTATTTCAAACCCGGTCCCTCCCCCAAACAAAAAACAAAAACAACCCAACACTAGAACCAAATCCTTATCTTCCTGAGAAAAGTCACCTGATGATGAGGGCAGGGGTGGGGCTCCAGGTGTTACCAAGGCCATGTGACCAGCCAGGGACAACACACACTCCAAGGGAGGAGGCAGCCCTGGGCCTAGGGGGAGGGCAAGCGCTGGCTGGAACCTGTCTAGGAATTGGCACACCTTTATCTGATCAGCTCAGAGCTCTGAGGACCTATGTCCGTTAAAGGTCCCAGACACGGGCTCGCACTCTAATGCAGTGGTTCTCCAAACATCTGCACCAAGGTAGATTAGACTTGGTGAGCCTCAGGCTGAGAGAGAACCCCAAAGTCAGGCTGGGGAGATACTTCAGCTGCTAACGGTGCTAGAGGCCTGTTAGATACCTCAGAACTAAACACGCATGTACCCATGCACACACGTTAGTGCACACTTGTAATCCCAGACAGGAAAGGCAGAGATGGGCAGATGCCTTGGGACTGGTTGGCCAGCCAGCTTAGTCTAATTAGAGAGTCCCAGATCTGGGGAGAGGGCTCAGTGGGTTAAATGAGTTCAGGTTTCCAGCAACCATGAGAAAAACAAAAACAAAAAAAAAGGCCACTTGTCCTCGCCAGTAACCCTAGAGTTGGGTGGGAGGTGGAGGACAAGGAGACTCAGGTAGCTTTCTGGCCAGCCTACAGCTCTAAGTTCAGTAAGAGATCTTACTTATTACAAAAAACAAGAAGGGCTAGCTGGGTAGTGGTAGCACATGCCTTTAATGACAGCAGAGGCAGGTGGAATCTCTCTGAGTTCAAGGCCAGCCTGGTCTACAGAGCTGAGTTTCAGGACAGCCAGGGCTACACAGACAAACCTTGGGGGGCGGGCAGGGTGAGGTGGGGTGGGGGTGGGGGTGGACCTGGAGAGATGACTCAGAGGTTAAGAGCACTGACTGCTCTTCAAAGGTCCTGAGTTCAATTCCCACAACCATGTGGTGGCTCACAACTGTCTATAATGAGGCCCTATTCTGCCATGCAGGCATACATTTATTTATACACCCCTTTAATCCCAGCACTGGGGAGAGTTAGAGACAGCCTGGTTCCAAGACAGTCAGAGCTGTTACACAGAGAAACCCTGACTCGAAACCACCCCCCAAAAAGGAAAACTTAGGGTGAAGGAGACACTCCACTATCAACCTCGGGTTTCCACACAACAAATGAACACAGACATCTGCACACACCCCACCCCCATCCATAAGCCCGAAGGCCTAGTTACCTTCCATGAGAACCAAGGTCACATCTCTTAGGATGGTTAACGTTGTCCCCAGGACCAGCACGGAGAAGAGGAAAGTGCAGATGGGATCCACGTACTTATACTCAGGCTGCAGGAAAAACAGACAGACATGGGGCTCACCAGCATCCACTTGGGTCTATATTTTTCCCTACCAGTACAGTATCAGGAAGGGTCTCTCTTTTCAGGGTGAGCACGGGACTTGCTCTGGCCTGTCTTTTCCAATTTCCTACTCTATTCTCCATCCAGATGACCTCAGGACACATCTCTTCCTAAAAAGATGAGACACAGGCAAAACTAAAAAGGATTGTGGGCATTTGATTCACCATTCCCATTTTATAGATGGGGAAACTGAGGTTCGATGGGACCAAGTAATCCATTCATCACACAGCCTCAGCCACACTCATGGCTCATTTTACATCTCATTATCTCTATGTGATAGGCAATGCCCGGCTTCAGCAACACAGTCATGGGTTTAAATCCGGCTTCTGTGAAACTGTACAAGTAACAGAACCTTTCTGAATGGCATATAGCACAATCATCTACCTTTCAGGCTTCTTGTAGAAGTAAAAGGTGCCAACAACACTTGGTAAGTATTAAATAAACATCCCTTCCCTCTTTCTACCCTCTCATCCTAAGCTGGAGGGGGCCTAGCATGGGGACAAAGCCCTGTGCAGAGAAGCCCTGGGTACTGCCCCACCTCCCTCTTTGTACCCAGATCTGACCTTGAAATATATAATGTAGGCAGCTACCAGGACACCCAAACTCTGCAGAAGGTCCCCAATCACATGGATGAAGGCTGCTCGGACACTGGGGTTCTCCTGTTGCTGTTGGCTGTCTTCATGGCTTTGGTCACCATGGCTGTGTTCATGTCCATGGCTTTGCCCCTGTCCATGGCTGTGCCCATGTCCAGATTGATGAAGGGTCAACCCCATTCTATGGAAACAGAGTTCAATGAGGTAGCAAAGGTTTCATGTCAGCTAGGCACAGTCTACCCATTAGGGCTGGCCTCCCTGAAGGTAAAATTCTGAAGCCCCCAGCACACAGCGATCCTCTTAGGATCAAGAATCTAGTCTGCAGCCTTGGCTTATAGCCATAGGGCAAAGAGTTCTGCCCACAATGGAAGGCTGACTGGGCACAAAATCCCAGAGTTGAATTTCAGAGCAAGGGGGCAATGAGGAAGTCATCTGGTTCATCCCATCATGTCACAGGAGGGGAACCTGAGACAAGCCAGCCGAGGAGACAGAAGGCCCAAACATATGTTCTTTCTAACCAGTCCCCTCTCTTTTACTGAGACCAGTTTCAGCCATGTCAACCTGACTTGGCCTTTGGTCCAGCATGAACCAGATGCATCCCTGTGCTGTGGATAGCCTCAGAAGTTATTCTCCTGGACATGTACTATGAGAGGGGAGGAGAGTTGAGATGGTGGGGTGGGGTGGGGGTCTATAACCTCCCATGTCCCATTTAAAGCAGGACCAATGTATACCATGTGCCAGAGTTCAGGCCATGAGTGAGATTCAGTGCGGGAAGGGAGGCATGAACTCCGTTCCCTGGGAGTGGGGGTCACTTATAGGGAACCGGGCCATACTTACATGATGTTTACAGCCACCGCGCAGCCCGACGTGATCAACATGGTATCCCCTTTGATCTCATAGTCTCCAGAAATCAAGCGCTGCACAGCCAGGTACACCAGCACCCCAGTCACCACCCAGATGGACAGTACAGACACCAAGGCTCCAAGGATCTCTAGATAAGAAGAGCCCAACCAAAAGAACATTAGCCTGGGCCCTAAGGGTAGGAAGGCCTACTCCCTCCATGTTAGCCCCTCCCTGCAGAAAAGTCAGCATGTTTTTGGTGTTTGCTGAAGACATGCCTCTTCCTGCCAACTCATATATGAGAACTCCTATCTAGAACCATCCAGCTCAATCCTGTTTGCTGTATGTGGAAAGAAACTGGTATGTATGTATGTATGTGTGTATATTCTAACCAGCATGGTGGTGGACATCTCTAATCCTAGAATGTGGGCTGCTAAGACAAGAGGACTGCCTGAGTTTAATACTCTCCTTTTTATGTTTCTTGTGGTCTCACTATGTAAATCAGGCTAGCCTTGAACTCGAGATTCACCTGCCTCCACCACCCTTGTGTTGGGATGAAGGGCATATATATGCCTAATTTTCCTGCCCAAATAAAGGTAAGGTCACTACCTAATTAATGAAGGTAACAGAAGAGGGCCCAAATTCCCCAGAGCTGGAGCTAGTTACAGCCAAGAAGACACGTGCTAACTGCTGAGCCATCTCTCCCTACGGGAAAGTGGCAGTGCCACCAGGAAGGGAACTAACAGCTTAAGGGACTGTTTACTGACCTTTCCCTACCCATAGCTGACCCATAGTGACAGGCAATGTTAGTGCTGTTGTCCTTTGTTCTGAGCCCCTACTTTCTAACATGAACTTTGCTTCTCCATTAACAAGTAGCTCCCAGATAACTGGCACCAAGTCTGTCCCATCAGATTGGGAGTTCCCAGAGGATGGAGGCCAAGGCAGACACTCCCTTTTCCATAGAAGCTGCCTTTTTGGCCTAACTCCTGGCCTTAATTTCAGTCCTTGGGAGGCTGTGACAGGAGAGTTACTGAGTTTGAAGCCAGACTGGGCTATTACAGTGAGTTAGAGGCCAGTCTGGACTATGTATCAAGATCCTGTAAAATAAATAAATAACAAAACAAAAACAAAAACAAAAATCCCCCCAAACTAGCTGTGTGTGGCATACCTGAAATTCCAGGGCTTGGGAGGTGGAGACAAGAGGATCAGGAATTTCAAGGGCAGCCTTGGTTACTTCTTAGTACATTCAAGGCCAGCCTAGACTACTAGAAATGCTAAAACCCTATCTATCTCTTGATTACCCCATCTGTGGCCACAAGGATCCTTACCAGCTCGTTGCCAGCCGAAATTCATGGTCTTGGTGGCCGGTCGGGAAGACATCCACAGGGAGAAGAGGCTAATGAGCATGCTGGCAAAATCGGTGAGCAGGTGAGCTGCGTCAGTCATAATGGCCAGGCTGTGTGCCAGGTACCCACCTGCAAAAGTGACAGCCAGGGTGAAGTTCCCCCTGAAAGAGTTAACCGCCCCCCAACTCTGCACAGCAGGGAGACCACAAGGGAAGACACAGTGGGCTCAAGGTCTCTGCACCAATCAGTTGTTCAATTTGAGCTAAAGAGTTGACATTTTCTTACAGGGTGAGTGCAAAAATCAAGTTCAGGCAGTAGTGGTGCACGCCTTTAATCCTAGCACTCGGGAGGCAGAGGCAGGTGGATCTCTGTGAGTTCAAGGCCACCCTGGTCTCCAGAGCAAGTTTCAGGAGAGCCTACAAAGCAATACAAAGAAACCCTTTCTGGGCAGGGGGGAGCAACAAAAAATTCTAAAGGATATGCGATAGGTAGGGTTTTAGTTGGAGGGGTTGTAGGGGAGAAAGGGAGGGAAAAGGGAACTGGGATTGTCATGTAATTCAATCTTGTTTGTAATTCAAAAAGGAGTTTGTAAAAAAAAGTAAAGAAGATCAAGTTCAATTAGAGCTAGGGAAGCAAAGTAGGAGCTCAGTAAGTACTCTTATATTATTTTCATTATTAATTTAAGTGTGTTTTACCTACACATATGGGTGTGCATCATATGCCTGGTACCCACACAAGCCACAAGAGGACAGCCGATTCCCTGGGACCAGAGTGACAGATGATTGTGAGCCACCATGTAGGTGCTGGGAATCAAGCCTAAGTCCTCCGGAGGAGCAGCCAGTGCTCTTAACTGCAGAGCTGTAACCAACTGATTGATTTAAAAAAAATTAGCCCAGTGATGGTGGTACACGCCTTTAATCCCAGCACTTGGGAAGCAGAGGCAGGCAGATCTACAGCAGGAGTTAGAACAGCCATAGATATGCAGAGAAACCCAGTCTCGAAAAGCCAATAAACAAATAAAAATTAATGGATGTGGTGTCACACACCTTTAATTCCATCACTCTGGAAGCAGAGTTCCAGGCTAGCCAAGGCTAGTGAGACCCTGCCTTAAAAAAAAGAAAGAGGCCGGCCTTTGGTGGTGCACGCCTTTAATCCCAGCACTTGGGAGGCAGAGGCAGGCAGATCTCTGTGAGTTCGAGGCCAGCCTGGTCTCTAGAGCGTGAGTGCCAGGATAGGATCCAAAGCTACACAGAGAAACCCTGTCTCGAAAAACCAAAAAAAAAAAAAAAAGAAAAAAAAAAAAAAAAAAAAAAAAAAAAAAAAAGAAAAAGAAAAAAAAAAGAAAAGAAAAATAGAAAAAGAAAGAAAAACTAATCAATAAAACAGGGATTAGTGTCAGTAGCATTAATGAGAGCATTCAGCCCATGCAAGAACCAACTTCATTTAATTCACACACAAGGCCTTACCGATGATTTCTCCGATCATGAACATCAGGCAGATGGCAGAGGCCAGATAGAGTTTGCGCCGGGCCTTCTGCCTCTTGGAGTCAGGGTGACTACAGGAATCCTTCTGGGCATGGCAATAATGGTTGCTCTGGACAGCCAGCTCAACAGCGGGCAGGTCCACAGGAGGGGTCCAAGCAGCCTCACTCTTCCAATGTGATCCTAAGAATGACCTGGAGGTGGGGAAGGAGAGAAAACGCTCAGCGTTTGGAGGTGGGAGCACAGAGCCAGTCTCTGGGAGTATTGCTGGTCCGGTGTTTCCAAAGCAAGTTAAGCACCGAGCCTGGCAGGTGATCAAGGTAAGAAGCCAATGTTACAGGGGATGCTGGGGAAGTGAGTCTTGGGACCTTGTTCTAAGCCGTTCCCCCCTCCTCCACCCCTTCCCAGGCCTGGAGAGTCTTTACGAACTAGCCAAAGGGCAGGCCGTCCAGTCGAGCGCAGACAAAGAGCAGAGTTCTGGCTCAAGACAGCAGCATGCAACGTAGCGCAGCGCACCCGAGGGCACAGGGCCTCCCCACCTCAGGGCTGCTTGGGATCAAAGTGCTGGAGTGAAGGCGGGGTAACAGGCACCCGACTGTGTCCCACTGGAGCGCACCCGCAGGCAGCGTTCAGGATCTGTGTGCTTGGCCAGCTGAGACAGGTGATCCCCGGGGCTACGAGGCCACAGCCAATTTCCTCTTTCCCTTGCCTCACCCCATCCCTCTGGCGGGATCCCAGGTTCAAGCCCCCGGCCGGACCAACCACAGCCAGAATGGCCAAAGAGGAGGTGCCTGTGATGTGGCCCAGATTCCCGCCCCTCGGGGCTTGAATTTACCGCGCCCCGCTCCTGCTCTCCAACAGGTTCCGCTTGTCCAAGGA